AAAAAAAAAAAAAAGTACAGCAGCATGAAAGCAAGGAGGCATAAATTACAACCATCCAAGTGGGGAGTAGACCCTAATGTAGCATTACTTAACAAGTTGAGTTTAAGTGCAACATCATATTTGTTGCTTCTACCATTTCTAGACTCAAGTTTGACATCTACAGTCAAACGCAGCTTACAGACTATCAGATGTGAATTACTGTAATGGTTCTCCCATGGATAATTGTGACCATGACCCCTGATCTCCACATTTGCAGAGGATTTAACTCTTTAACTTTGCAATCCCATAACCAAGCATAATTTGGAAATGCATACCATTTTAAATTAAAACATTCACAGAAATGGATGCTTGCGAGCTTTAATAATAATAATAATAATAATAAGAAAGAAAGACCAGAAGGAGACCAACACTTTGTTAAAAACCCACACTTTGACTCACAACCTACATGTCCTTCTACCTGAGCAAAAACATGCTACTGCTCTGATGACCTGCACTGGGCAGCAAATTAGCAGTTGTGTATGGAAATATGGGAAAGAGGCGAGGGCCATGCAAAACTGTACGCAGCTTTAAATAAAAAAAAAAAATAATAAAAAAAAGCATTTTCTTCACACATGAACACATTTTAAAGCCTCACTAAACAGAATGCAGGCCTCTGGATTGAGATCAGCTTTAAATCAAGCAAGCACCGCTCCAAACAGAACAAAAGATAAAATAATGTAAACTGCAGCTACACTTACACTAGACTAGTGCAAAATAAGCTTGTATCACTTTCTCAGGAAACATGAAGCTAAGCCTACAACTGATCTATGGCGTTATTTTTGTGCCACTATTTTGAGCTCGCCAAATAAATGTAAAAAAAAAACCAAAAAAAAAATTGCAAGTCCAAGTGTTGCATTTTGAGGAGAAATTTATTTTGAGTGAAGAAAAGCTAAATTCGAGCAAACAAAACCCAAATGAGGCAGTGGCGGAGGAACGCAAAGTGGCAGAGTTTGAAATATTACTCTCTCTGGTTTAGCTTTTCTTTGCAAATTTCTCCTCAAAATGCAACACTTGTACTTGCAAAAAAATGTTTACGTGCACTCAAATTGTTTTTTCAACGCAATCAGAATAGTGGCACAAAAATAACGACATACTGATCAAGCAAATTTTCTGTTGATTCAGAACACTAACCGGTCATGTGGTCTTTGGCTCACAATATAATGCATCCAAAAAACAGTTACATGAGCAGATTTACATTACCTGTTGGGCATTGATGTACTTGGTGTACTTCTCTGAGCACTTTTCATGATGATCCCTCAGGTGATCCAAACGTTTTTTGAATCTGGATAGTGTACCAGTTAGACATGAGAAAATTACATTAAATATACATGCATGCAGAGGTATCACAGTAAAAGCCATACATACTGTATTTCTGAAAAAGCACAAGTTCTCAGCAATAATAAATTTTACTGAGATGATTAAATGGTTTTTTTAACAGTTTCTATTTACATGTATGTTCTCTCCCTAAATCCACAGCTGTGTTGTTGTAAGCAGTTATCCTGTAGGTGCACAGTTCTATCCCCCCACAGCAAGTGACCCTCTCCTTAACTCATATTTAAATATTCATGGCAGGCTCCCCACACAGGTGCATGCACCACATGTCAGCTTAGAAGAAAACAGTTTCTAGAGAGCCGCAGCTCTTTGCTCTGCCGACTTGCACGGATCCAAACAGGATCTGTAGCTGCGTGCACGTTCCACGCATGGAAAACCCATGGTTCTGTCCATGTTACACACCAGGCATGTGCGTTTTGTTTACCTCTCTGAGCCCAGACAGATGACTTAACTAATTTTACATATGTGCATACTAATTCTGAAGGCGCTGCCATTAAAGACTGCTGTGGTCCAGATCATCTAAAAAGGTCCACAGTGCCGGCCATTTACCAAACTAGAGAACAGAAGCAGCTGTTTTGTTTCAATAAAACTGCTGAGATGACAGTGGGTTGACCAGACTCCATGTTTCTACACAAAAGTAGTTTTACTAGGCCTCATGCACCTGACTTTGGTCTCCAGGCACAGTGTGATGTTAAACAAATAGATAACTATATGGATTTAAAACAAACAGGAACTAATCAGAATTACTCAGAAGATAAGCTATACAGAATCACTGCAACTGAACGTGAATGTTAAACATGCTGACCATGTTAAAAAATAAATAAATA